CCTGAAAAAACAATATTTTAACATGTTTCTATGTAAATTTGATTTTTATTTTTACTCTTGCATCTTTTAAATTCGACGTTTAATTGACTATGGACAAGTAGTTGATTTTCAAGTGTCAAACTTTATCAAAATTTTAAATCTTGAAATATATTAATAATAATGAAAAATGCTCCCTCTAAAGTAAATTTTTAATAGATAAAATAGAAGGTAATAAAGATGTATTTTCTATGATTAACATTATTTTAATTGATATTTTTACTAAAAATTTTGGAGCAAACATCAGATAGTCCCAAAGTAACTATAGCTTCTTATATTATATAGTGATTTAAAAGGGCTATTCCTTACATCTCCCCTCTATCTCTTTTTAACCTCTTTTTTACCCCTCCCCCTTCAATTAAGGCGAAATTCTTTTAATTTCTCTGTTATAGTGATTGGGTTGGATACATGATTACCCCACTCCGTCCCTCCCCAGCCCCCTCATTATTTCTAGGGTCCCTTCAAAATTAGTTCAAACTATTTTAGTTTCTCCATTATGTAATTTGGTAAAATATTTATTTCAGCTTTTACCCCTCAATGCTCTTTAACACCTTCTCGGTCCATCTTACTACCATTTACTATAAAGTGAAACTATTACAGACAGTTTGTTACTTAATTTGGTTGAATTTTCTATTTGAGCCTCTTAGCCTCACAACTCTTTTGAACTTCTACTCTAATAAATATAAGAAAAAATTATTTCGTCTTGTTAAATAGATGTAGTATCTTTGAACCATTTTTAAATCTTGAACTACATTCTTTTTCCCCTTGCACTACTTTTTCAACGCTAGCTTTTATTTTCATTCCTTATAAGTTTATTCATTCTGTTATTTAACATGGATAAGATATGATATGGTACTAGTCAAAAACCAGTAAATTAAGTTACGTAATGTTTATACAGTAAAGCTGGTCAGTATCCTTATTGACCACCTGAAGACAAAGATCTTCTTTTCTTTTCTATTGAAATATGAAGGTTACTTAATTTGAGTTTAAACTTTTGTTCTGTCTTAAAATTTGTTAATAGAAAATTGTTTTCCGTACAAAATGAATGATAATGAAGATGTATTTTCTGTATTAATATTAATTCAATTTTTCTATGCTTATACTTTATGATAGATTAAGAAAAAATGGTTGTATAATCAAAAAGTCAAAAATTATTTAAATTTGAAAAAAAATCAGTGGATATAAAAATTTTTAGGTAAAATATACGTTATTATTATTATTTCTTGAAGTTATACTTCTATAGGTACGTTCTGTCCCACAGAGTAAATCAACGATTTCAGATTGATGACCTTGAGATAAAGTGTAACGGTGGTGGATTTTGCTTGATTCTCCCCCTTCACCCCGCCCCTCTTGACGCACTTCCGGTCCCCCTACACCACCCAACATCTAACATCATCATCGCACCGCACCACACCACTTATATATATATACACNAACCCCTGACCTACTGCATGCTAGCTGAGGCCCCTTACCACTCTGCAGCCCCGATATTTCATATTCGATTACTGCATGTTTTCTTGTACTTCAAAACTTGGTTTTAATGTAAATTTTTATTTACTGTTTATTTATTCGTTTAGTTTAATTATACATTATATTAGTAAATAAATAATTTATTCAATAAACTTATTTTTTTGGTTAAATTTTTTTTTCGATAACTTAGAAATTGAGGTATTTTAGCACAGCATATTTCCTATACATTCATAAGTATTTATTTACTCAGTATCAGTTTGTTACAGTTTTACAATAAATAACTAGTTGTTTATATAATTTTTTTATTTCTATTCAAAGTTTTCAAAAATGAAAAAAAAATTATTACTTTATAAGAACAATAATTGATTTTTATTGCATTTATTCTTTTACAATTTTTCTATTCCTGATTACGGCGATTTTTTAACTTAAGGATGTTCTTCACATAGTTACCGAGAGAAAAGGTCAGAGAGGTGAGAGGAGCTCTAACGTATGCAGCAACGCTGAAAATTATTTTTCTTATATGGATGTAATTGTGTACACGCTCTTACGCATACTTGACCTCTTCTTTCTTGTGTTATTAAGAAAAAAAAAATGTCGATCCATTTAAAAATAAAACAGATTCATCTGTAGTAATCTTTCATACAAACCCAAAAATGAGAGCTTTAAACAGATCTTGTAAATCCAATTCAAAGTAATTTTTCCATAATGTTGCATGTTAAATTTAATATTCTTTAAATTAAACATGTGAAAAAAGGTACAGTTAAACAATCTGCTTTTTTATAAGGGTATTTCTAATTTTCTTAGGAAGTTTTTTTGAAACCATCGGAAGATTTGATAAAAGAACACAGTCTTGTACTGGCCAGCTGCCATATTGTTTACATTGTATTGTGCCATAAAATATTGTTTATGATTGTTCTATTATTAGATATAGAATATTTATTGAAACCACACCCAACTAACGTAGGCATACTTATTCCAACGATAATTGCACCACTTTTGTATGTAATATCGTTTATTACGAGGTATACTTATATTTATAATTATATTATTTGCCATATAATTTTATAGAAGTATAACTTCTTACTTTGGTACCCAAGCACCCAGATTTACTAGGTGCAAAGTGACATTTCACTTTGTGTATATTGAGACAGTATATCTGCTCAAAAGTTTGATGGATATCTCAACAAGTTAAAGTTGTTCGTGCTACAAGTTTGGAAGACTAGTCTTCTAACGTGAAAAAGCGTACCTCCCAAGCAGTGAAAGTCTCTTTACTTCTGTTTTGAATAGTAAACGGCCTGCGTCGAATTTCTGTACCAATTTTGCCTCCGTGTATACTGACTTTATACTTTCTGACGAGTTAATAGCAGTTAGTAGAAAAAACTTGCAGTGTATAATCATTACCTTTGCCGCCATCTGTAACGATAATATGCATAATGTTTGTTGAGAAACTTAAACTTTTGTTTTTCCATTGTTGTAACATTCAATCTAGTATTTTGGCCATAAATGAATGGTTTTTGTACAGTGAAAAGAAATTTCACTTTTTTCTTAAGATTAAAAAAAATTATGTTCATTACGTATATATTAATAATACTTTTAATACGTGGAAAAATGTAGTCGTCTTTGCGGTGGCGCAACGGTAGAGTTGCAGTTCCGTCGATTTCCGAGGTTAAGCTGCATTCTTCGTGGTTAGTACTTGGATGGGTGACCGTCTGGTGACCATTCAGGTCTCGCCGTTTCGCCTGTGCTCTTGATTCTCGAGGGTCGATTAACTGTTTTTTTTCGCTTCGACATCGTGATCGTAGGTGTGACTATGAGTTGGTCCAGATGTTTATATGCGTATAAACATCTGGTCATAACTCAGGTGCACCGATGGCTGAAAATCACTATTCTTGTGTAAGAAAAATTTATATCTGAGCCTACGGGCGATGATGAACAATAAAAAAAAAAAAAACTATACATCTCTTAAAGAGAGTATAAAAATGAAGTGTGCAACAAAATAGGAGCTAGTCCAAGTAACATTCAATAATTACCGCAACTGTGATATCCAAAACTAAATGAGAAATCGTCGATAACTAGATCACTGTCACGACAAACTGAAATTTTTAGCTAGTGATCCAATAATTGAACTAGTTAAATTTAAAAAAAAAATTTTTTTTTTTACTTTTAATTTATTAACCCTTACGTTGAAGCAGCTTAGCAAGAATTTCAATAAAATTTAACATGCTTGGCACCGACTTTGGTATGAAGACGTATGGATAAAATACCACATTCTATTATTTCTCAGTTAATTTGGTAATCACTTTTAAGAAGAAAATTTCTATGATTGCATGTTTATTACCATTGTATTCAGCTAGGGTAACGATAAATATATACAATATAAAACATACTTTTTTTTGTATGCGCAACGTACAATCAGCTTTTTAAAATCATAATAACACATGAAAATTATACTTAGGTGTGTTAACCCAAGGCGAATTAGATAATGGAAGAGGGAGATCTAGATTGAATATGCTCCGGCACTTGCATGAAATTAAGTCTGGCAGAACATCTTCCATTTCCCACGAAATAATAGGCTTCGATAACAAAGGTCACGTTTTGAATTATGCTGAAATGTCGACAGCAGAAAAAATATGCGAACATGCTTCTAAGGTTGTAACATTCATAGATTTAGCAGGACACAGAAAATATCTAAGAACAACAATACTTGGATTAACAGGTAAAATAAGTGACTTCCCATACTTCAAATTATTTTAAAATTTATAATCTATTGGCTCCCTAATTACGGTAATGAACTATTTTTTTACTAGGATATTCACCTCATTATGTAATGTTAGTTGTTGCTCCTCCAATTAATGAAGTTGTGCAGGAGCACGTTGCTCTGTGTTTGGCTCTTCATGTACCATTTTTTGTTGTTTTTACCAAAGTTGACTTAGGATATTATAATCCCCAGGAAACGCTTTCTGAATTAAAAAGTATTTCTACTTTTCAAGGTTGCCATAAAAATTTTTTACTTCACAATAGTAGCAATAATAACAGTCACCAGGATAGGCAAAATAATGAGTCAAATGTCATATCGGTCTTCTCTGTTAGTTGTGTAACTGGAGAAGGATTAAGTGACTTGAAAAATTTTATTAGAGACCTGGTACCTGTTGAATTATCCCCTCCTGATTTAGATCCTGACTCCTGCTTATTTCAAATAGATGAAATATTCAGGTTTGTATTAATTAATACACTAATATAAAGATTTTTCTTTATACAGTGGGCACTTAAAAGAAAAGTTGCCATTTTATTCATAGATTTTCTTAAAAAATCTTTCCTTACAATTAATTTGAGACTTAAATAGTTAAGCTTGCACAAAAAGAAATAAATACTCTTCAGGAAAATATTACTCTAATATCGAGCACGTTGAAATTTCGAATAATAAAGAAGATTGCATTAGCGACGATTTATCGGAAATACCTTCATCCCTATACAAAATACCTGATAGAATAGATGAGGAAATTGATACCGATGCAACCCAAAAGTTTGTAAACAAGTGATTGTTGTTGTAACAGTTAATAATTAAAAAAAAAATTTTAATGTATTAAAAAAACCTACAATTTAATGAACACGAAAATTTGAATAAATATATATTTCTTACTATAGTCACTTTTCGTATTTAATTTATTAATTAAGCATAATCAATCTTTAATACTACGTTTGTAATCGTATAATTACGTAAAACAATTCCTTGAAATTTAAACGCCAGCTATAGCCCGTGTTTTGACATATGCGCACTGCAACCGGTCTGACACCTAGTCGCAAAAGAGGGGTGCTGATAGGAGCGCTAAGCCGCGCTGGCTGTAACAATGCGACTTTCATGATTTTTTTCAGCTTCCAGTGTGATGTAGAATTATCAGTCCGTTATTGCTGAAAATTCCAATTTCTTGTATCTTGGCTTCAGAGTGAGCTAGATCATTCTTTTTTTTTTTAAATTCGTGTTTTTTAATGACAAATCCAACGACGTTTGTGAGTAAAGAAAGTATACAAAATTAACTGAGATTTTTGAAATTCTTTAAGTTGTAAGATACAGCTTTTGCTGGCAAAACGTCAAAATTTACAAAAATTAAAATTTTTTTGATTTGTTTTCATTAGTAACATTAAATACAATGTTTTTCTTCAAGCGGAATGTCGATAAATTAACCGTAAAGCTTGCTATACCACTCTAAAGNATAGTCAATGTACTCAAATAGAATTTATCAATTAGGTTCAATAACGATCAATAATTATTTTTAAAAATTATGCATATTTAGTGAAATTATTTTATTTGACCGTTTTGTGGGCACATTTTTTTCTATTTTTTGTTTTCATTTTATCTTACCTGCTATTTTTAGATTTGACATCTTTTACGAAAAAATACGATTCACTTTCCTCTACACTATTCATTAAAATTATGAATATGTAAGATTGGTCTTGAAACTCAGAAAATTAGCTTGACAACTTGTAACGAATCTAAAAAATTAAATAATTATAAGAAAATTTTGCTTTTTTTATTCACACAGCAGGATCTAAAAAATGCGGTTTAAAAAAAGTTAATTAACTTTTTTTTGGTAGGGAGGTATAATAGAATATGAACTGTTATGATTGACGATAAACTGGCACCAAGCTTCAACATTTATGATGTACACTTTTATACCTCAAAAATTAAATCAAACCATTGCTACATAATTTATTTAACTCATTAACTCAAAAGAAGAATAATCCTAACGTAGCCGTCGAGAATATTTTCAAACATTAATATACCGTCACATGCGAGATTCCACAGAAATAGAAGTGGTTTCGATCAGCTTTTATTAAATAATAGTATCCGGTGATGTGGTGACATCATTTGTCGTGGCTTCGCCCACTTTCTATTCATAAATAATTTAGATACTCGATTTTGTTCGAGTTAAAATTTGATATTTTTTACAATACACCATTTTTAGCTTCCAACAAAAAATTTAAATTACCGTGAAAGTGTCTTGCACATATAATTTTAGAATCTGTTAACACCAAAATTGAATCGTAACACATGTTAAAATACTGTGCCACTACTATTTTCTAGATACACAACATGCAAAACTACATTTAATCGTAATAGTATATACAGCTCAATCATTCAGTATAACATCATTGAATAAATGTGGAAGTTAGATGACTGTTGAATAATTATAATTATTTTTGATTAAGGTACAAATATCATTAAGGAGGTTCGGTAGCGATAATTTTTTATGATGAAAATTTTTGAAATTTCGATATGTTGTTTGGGATAATAGTATCAAATTACAGCTAAATTTTTGAAGGGTTTAACCACACCGTTTTCAAGATATATTGACCTGAAAAAACAATATTTTAACATGTAGGCTTATGGAGAAATCACTTAAATTTCACATAAAAAAAAAACGGCTAAATGAACTTGCTTTTTTTTTTTTTAAATGAAAGAATATTGTCAAAATAATAGTTTGTCAAAGTTTGAGAGAGCCCTACCACAAATTTCTATTAAAAAACAGCAAAAAATGTGCTCACAGCAGACGACTTGGCAACGCTGCTTTTGGCGCGCGCTTTGAAATGTAATGAATAGTAAAAACTCCTTTTGTAGTTGAAAATTTAATTATAAAAAATTCAACCGAAGAAATAAGTACACTGTCATCAGTAGACGACGACAACAGCAGTAGACGACAACAACAGTAGACGAGACGACGTGCCAGCAGCCGAAAAAATTCACAACGTTGTCAGACGCTCTCCCTTCCCTTGCCTCTCTGAGATTTCCCCCCGCTAACACTACCGAACCTCCTTGAAAGTACGGAAGGTGCGTTTCCGTAGATTAGTGCAGTAAACGGCAATATTAACAGTGAATGTATGTAGTAATAGTGTGGCCATTTCAACTAAGTAAATTTGAATTACTTAATGAATATCATTTGATCTTCGTAAACGTTATTTTTAAAAGACCGTTCACAACACATTAAAGTTAATAGGGCATTTTTATCGGAAACTTTTAAATTTAAATATTGGTTTGTTATTTCTTTTTTATGTTTTTTAATGCATTGACCATCTGCTGAGGGCAGCTTTGGTAGATTTACGAGGGCTTAACCATCCCAATAATACTCGTGGATTTAGGAAGCACATAGTATATTTATCATAGTTCTGATAGATCAACACTATATGAAAGCAAACAATTGAATGTTTTTTATAAACCTGACTTAGTAAAATTAATTATGAGAGTCACTTAGTGGACAAAAACTTTGGGATACTACCTCCTTGCCCTCTAGTGTTTGAGTGACAAAACTCTCTGGCAGAGCTTTTTTACAGTTAGGTTTTTTGTAAGTACCATTAAAACTTTTATTTTAAAGTTACGGCTAATTTTAATAGTCTGTAATGTTCTTAAACTTTTTTTCAACTTAGAGATCCAGTTGTTTAGTATTTTTAGAGATTTTTATGAACATGCAAACAAACACTTTCTTTTAGTATAATATGTTACTGCATGAGACGTTATACATGCATCTATATCTATATCTATAAATCATTTTATAGTATGTAGTCTTAAAAATTTTAAAGGTAATTACGCCTTTACTTCTTTTAAATACATTTATTTTTGTGTAATTTTGTGTGATAATTCATAAAGTAACTCAGCATTGAAAGAAGATAAAAAGAATTTACAAGGAGCAGTATGCTTTTAACCCTAATGAAATTTTTTATTATTATATTATTACTTATTGACGCTGTCGTTTATTATCCCTTAATATAAAACATCGTTTAATAAGAGGGTTTACTGTCCCCTTACTCTAAAATTTTTCTGAAAATGTTTTATACGAATTTCCAAATCCGTCTAGTTTTTATGGACTACCACAGTGTGTTTTTAATCCCGGAACCCATCACAATACTTTAAAAGTAGTGCCAAAAAATTTTCATTTGAAGTGTATAATCCAATTATTTTAAAGAACTGCAAATTTTAAGTCACAAATAATTAATTTCTAACCACCACGATTTTTTAAATGTATCTTTTCGAATATCGTATATAAATTGTGCGAGATATTTCACAACCTTTCCATACCCTTGATATTAGAGAAAACTCCCATTTCATTGTGAGTTAAATTTTTTGAAACAGGTCATTAACAATCAATCAATAGAATTTGAGACTTACTTTGATTAGTTGCGATAGGTTTATACGGCAAAATTATTCTTCTAAAACATTTTTCTTCAATCTTAATTCTTAAAAAGTTGTTAACAAATGAACTTTTCACTTTTTTTTCTAAAATTGCAAAGTTTCCATCAATATTTAATAAAAAAAATTGCATAATTTTATTGTTGAAATAAAACAGTAGTTGTAAGGAAAATGTATTATTTTGTGCTAGTTGAGAAGAGGAACGATTAAGGAGGGGTAATAGCGGTTGCTTAGAGAAAGACGGTGAGGACGAAGTTATAGTAAGTCAGAAAACGTATCTGATTAGAACTACAGTACTGAATGTCCCCGACAACTATTTTTCTTCTGTCTTTGCGTTCTTTTGCTTTGCTAAGCACCCTGAAGAATGGTCTGTTATTACTCCAAATTGCTAATCCCATAAAACTCCAAGCTGCTTCTTTCTGACTGTAGTATTCTCTCTGTATCGAGCTGCTGTTTTGTTTTCCTTTGTTTGTTTGTGTGCGTGTGTGTGCGTGTGTGTGTATTTGTGTGTGTGGTGCTACTCACTTGGTAACTGGGCTTTTGAGACCGGGTACTATGGCCGGACGACTTATTTGTAAGTAACTTATATATATCAATTATTTATTTTTCATTAATTTTACAACAGTAGATTTTCAGCAGCTTAAAAAAATCTTATATTCTAGATAGTCTATGGGACAAAAGGATTAAGCCGCCAATCAAAGTCCCTTGAAACACCAAGATTTTTTAGACGTACTTTGACCTTCAGAATCTAAATTTGCAATGTACTATAACGCTTGTCTCTTTTTTAAATGCGCTCACATACCAGAAATTTTGATAAACTAACGGTTAGTAATATGTTTATAAGCTGACACCGTTTTTAAGTACAAAATAATGAATACTGAAACCCTCCTAAATTATAGCATTTTTTTGACAAAATACGCCAGTCTTGCAGATTTAAAAAATGTAGATTAAAATAAAAGTTATTGCAAAATTAGCTAGAGGATATGGTACGCAGCTTCAGATGAGTGACGCGCCTTGAGTAATGTACTCGCTATTTGCATCGTTACTTAAATCCGGCTGGATGCGCTAGCTAACTGTAGGTCTATTTTGTCTATTATTGTTTTCTTTGCATCGCTA